AATATTCAACAAAAATAGAGAATTGAAGATATCGTCATGAAATAAACACATCTGACAGAGTTGATCCAAGGTACCAACACACCAAGTATCAACACATTTTAGCTGGTAGTTTTGCAAGAAATCAAAAATGACAAAAATATCCACCAAAAATAGAGGAATGAAGGAGTCATCACAAAATGCCAAATCTGCCAAGTCCACCGAAGCTAGGTACCAACGTACCAAATATCAAAGCAATTAGTTGAGCTGGTAGCTTTTAAGAAGAATAGGGAAATGTAATTGTTGACAGATCACAGACGAACAATCACCTAGTTACCACTCTGTCATCTACGATGACAGCAGAGCTAAATGTTCCTTACAGCTCCCTCCCCTCACCTAAACTCTCACTCTAACACTTAACCCTCTTCTACCAATGTAATTATACATTCCCTCCATATAACTACCGGTATATGTATACTGTAGAGGGGCATATACAATTAAAATGTGGGAAGGTTATGAAAGGCAGGGTTAGGTTTATGAGTGATAGGGCCCAATGAAGCAATGCTTATCGTATAAAGTACTTCTTTTGCTTTACAGGTTGCAGACAGTGGTGGAACTTATCCAGACGGTGAAACAGTTGTTGCAGAAACAGCGTTAGATAGTCTTCTGGCTACTAACCCTAAAGCAGAAGCAGAAGCTGTAAGTAGAATACTACCATTACCTTCACTGGTTGTAAATCATTTTTTATTCAATAATTTTGCGTTTAAAACTAAGCAAGCAACTTGTGTATAATTGTTCTAGCCTCATTGGACAGTTTTGCATAGTCTCGTATTGCATATAGTAATATTATTTCATTTTCTCTTAAAAAAAATTATCTTCCTGAACTGGTAAGCCATGTGTTTCTCAGCTGTATTTTATAGTTCTCTAGCTGCCCTCTTTGTACCCATCCATGCTCACTCCACTATCATTTAAAAACTGTCGTTAAAATATGCCTCTGTCTATTTACCCTAGATTGTTGCTAGGTTAACGTATACAGAAATAAAATTACATTTGTAGGTAACTCTGGCATCTGGAATATTTGGGAAAACATACTTTAAAAACATAAAATTTGGAACGCTAAAAAAATATTGATAGTATACTTTCTATTTGCTTGTAAAAATACAAATAAAAATGCAAAATATATTTACTTTTGAATCAATTAAAATATACTGGATGATTATCTGTAAAAATTGTTGTCATGCAAAATCATTAAATCCAAATTGACAGCTGTTTGTTGTCAGTGCTAAATAGCATAGAAAACTGCAAAGTGACCACATGGTTTGATGTGACCATTTGGTTTGAAAGTATTATGTAACCATGTGGTAGAAAGTGACTTGTGTGAAGTGAATAATGTATTAGTTCTTTTTATATGTTATCTTTTAGGGAGAACAAATGTTTGAAGACATCCCTGCGAGAATTCAGAATGAAACAAAGGATGCTGTTGACAGTATGTAGCAGTTTATACTTGATAGTTTTGATTGTGGTCAACCTTACTTTAAAGACATTCAATTCTGCTAGATATTTGTATTTGTTGATGGAACATACTAGTACATTATTTATGTTTGTATATTCAGATAAATGTTATATCGATTATTAACTGTAGTAAATTTTTACATATCCAACACATTTTTAGCTCTGCAGAGCTTATGATGATACTGGTGGTCAGTCTGCATTCATTGTCAATTAGGTTGGCATTTTCGACTTCTTAAAAAATGATAACCTAATTGCTTTGCTTTTTTATCTGTAGGTATTTTGAGGGGGCCCTTGTCAAATTTGTTCATTTCAAGTTGAAATTATTGGTTGTCTATTTTTAGCAAATATTTTTGTCATTTTTGGTAAAAAAATATGTTTTCAGCTTTTTCTTAAAATCTACTAGTCCAATATTTTGATAATAATAATATAATATAATAATATATATAGTTCATATAGCACCTGATATCCATCAAATGATGCCCAATGACAGTTCACAGGAATGCTTGATGAAATATGTGTGAACATTTGGTGCTGTGCAAATGTCATTTGGTAGATGATTTCATAGATAAAGTCTGTTTTTGATACTTTGAGTAGTTTTTTGTTGCTAATGTGGGTACATTAAATTTGCTGGATCTCTGTCAGATTTGTTTATTTGGTGATACAATCATTAATTCTCTATTCAAACATTTTTGTTATATTTGGTAAGAATTATATTTTCAACAATTTCTGAAAAACTGTTTGACTAATTGTTTGTATAGGTTGATCAGCATCAGATGTGTTTATTTTGTGACAATATCTTCAAAGTGCTACTGAATATGGATCAGATTACTTCCAGATATGCTATATCAGTTAATATCACTTCCATAATTTGCATATTAATTAGCCAATTTTAAACATTTTCCATGGTACATGGGTTCTCTGGGATAATGTGCAGACCTGATTAGTTTTTAGTTGAAATCCATACATATTAATGACCAAATGTACAATTTTTAAATTGTAATTCACTACGTTCAATTACCCACCATAGACTCCGGTCAGTCAAAATGACTATTTTGAACTGTAGGCATTAATCAGCGATTCTGCCGGTGACGGAGAGATAGAATCCAGGTCAGGGGAAGCCCCATGACCTCAAGATTCTTTTACCCCTTACGTCACGAACCCACGTGACCGAGGCCACCCGGCAGCGCCACAGGTAGCCATCCTTCACTCTTAATTTCTCTCCGCCTCGAGTGGAGACGAAATCTAGCGAGCTCTGCTGGATCGCCTGCTTTTTTTTTCCTGTCCGGATTTATAGCTTGGGTTGTTGCCGCTGCTCGGCATCCGACATGGTAGCTGGTAGGATAAGTTTTCCTTGTCATTTTTACCCTCGTGTCGTTTTCCCCTTTGTGTGTAGTATTTTTCACAGCAAAGTAATCAAAATCCGGTGCCACTACGTAGTCACATGTTGATTTCATGGCGGCACCTTTTACAACTGTAATTCGTTTCCCTCATGCATGTCATCTTTTATTTTCAATGTATTTAGCAATATATAGATGTAATGACAGCACCAGAGCTCGCTGCCGTTTTCTTTCCGGTCTCCTCGTGTTTCGAGT